AGTTACTGCGGACATAGTTCACTATGTGTTTACCGTGTTTGGGTGCCCATCATATTTTACAGATGGGGCGATATTTTGAACGATTATATTTTATATTCATCTATTGCTGTACTCTGTAAAATTTGAAAAGTATTTAATAAAAAATCAAGGAACTGGTCAGGCTAATCAATAGAGATTCGGCGGAATGACAGGCTGAGCGCGGCCTAGTAAGTCTTCTGTCTTACACTTAGCTATTGTGTCAAAATTACACTAGTGTAATCATTGGGAAACCCCCTCCCTTCCCCAGCTGATTATGTGATGTTAAGGTCCAGAAACATTTTTATAAATACGGTGGATAAGAGGCTAAATTTTTTGTTTCACTAAAATTTGTTTCACTAAGATATTAGTATTTTTTTTAGTAAAACAAAATTTAGTAAAACAAAATTTAGTAAAACAAAATTTAGTAAAACAAATTAGTAAAACAAAATTTTAATTTTATTGCCATTACAATGAATAATTATATCATAATAAATATAAGTAGACATCCGATAATAAACTTGTTACATCCAGTACAACCCAAAATGTCAGCCGACTAATAAAAATAAAGAAAGATTAAACGAATAGGTATGTTTATAGTAAAACAAAATTATAGTTATATAAAAGATCATTTTAACATTGTAAATTTGGAGCCAGTTCTTTAAACTGGCTTACTTATACTACTTAAAGGGTGTTCAAGGGTTTTCTATTGAATTTCTATTGAATTTTATATAGGGTAATTGTTATATTATGTGTATATTGTTTGAATAATTTCTTTTAACATTGTAAATTGTAGCTATCTAACGTAATTGTAATGTCTCGTCCATGACAAAGGCGTGGGACAACTATTTGTTTGAAAAACTGAGCGGAGACTCTCCCTTTGTCCCCAAAAATATCAATGACTTTACTTTTCACATTTACAAATATTATTGATAGCTATGGACCACTGTTGCTACCTGTGTGCTTAGCTCTGCCAATTGTATTCCATGATTTGATTGAATGTTATCAATGTTTAATACTGCATATCCTTATTCTATCGTACATAATATATGTATACCCTAGGTCATGTGTATACCCTGGGCCATTGTTAGCCCCAAGCGGTTTGGTCCCTCATTCCTGCCACTCAGCATTGTCTACTGTAAAGTAGAAATTTTTCTAAGACAATAGAGAGAAAAGACAATTTTTGAGAAAAGACAATTTTATTATTTATCACCAATTCAATACATAATCAATAAATATATATCCGAATAAATTTGATTTAAAATTAAATGATACAAGTATGCTAGCAGCTAGCGCGCTTGTATATACACGCTGTTAATATGGGTCTTACCACACCGCCACTCACATTAGCACAGTTGGTGAACGGACCCAGGCGCTGTTAAGCTTTTATGAGCCCTGGTTGACTGCTGAGAGTGGCGACAGGTCTGACATTAATTTTATCTTAGTTTTCCCTATATTCCAGTAAAATTTTAGTTATATGATTTTATGCGATATTTAAGTTACAGCTGCTCGCAATACAATATTGCTTAAAATTTGTTAAATATGCTCGCTATACACTTAACTTTTAGATACCGTATGTATATGTACATATTAGCTCATAATACCAAATAACAATAATAAATAAATCAAAAGAAAGAAGAGGTCCAAAACCAATTCAAGCATGACACCAGGTTGAACACATTGTCATCGGAAGCTGCAAGCTTATTAACGTTTGATTCCACGTTGATCCGTTATTATGCAGTCACCTTCTGGCGGTGTCGACGGATCATGCGAAAAGGGTTTTTGACAGGCTGTGCCCTTACCATAATTAAACTGAACCATTGCCTGATATGATGTAAACGTGAGTGTTGGATAAGTGAGCCGCGCAAGCGCTCGCGCGCGCATTTGTGTCGCTCTGACAAGTAGCGCTTGAATAATTTAGCTACCACGACGTAAATCACGCGTTACGTAGAGAAACTGAACTTGTCTCACTAAATTCAACCACTTGCCTAATTCGTGGTTTAAGCACTTATTTTATTTATGATTAGAGGAATGTAAAATAAAACTCATTGTTTCATTGAAAACTTATTGTTTCATTGATTGTATTTCAACATTAAACACACCTCTAAAATAGGTAGTTAATGCTGATATGCCTATCATCCGGAAATTGTTAACTGCTAGACTCTGTGTGGTCTGCACCAGGTCCATCATCAAACTGAACAACTCCACAGCCAGAAATCTTAGCCAAACAACAGACAATGATCCTGAAGATGTAACAGAAAAGTCTGTTGCTGATGAACCAGATGACACTGAATATGAGCATGTCAACAAAGACACGGGTGAAAGAGGTGGACCTCGTGGACCAGAGCCTACTCGATATGGGGATTGGGAACGGAAAGGACGAGTTTCAGATTTCTGATACAATGGACATCAACAATATTCATGGACAGGAGATTTTATGTAACGTGACCCAACTAATTTACCCTACTTGAATTTATCAACTCTGTTATCAACATGAAAGTTTTGTCTATAACTCAATCTTATTCAATTAGTGACCCAAATCATACAACTACTGGCTGCATCAGCATAATTTTCTATTTGCATGAGATCTTGGTATCTTTTTGGGTGAAGATATCATGTTTTGAAGAAGTGTACCAAACCAGCCAAATTAATGTAAAATGTTTTCAGTTTTATTTGTTGAAAGTTTATACATTACATTTTATGATATTGCTGCACTGTGTTCTTAGATTTTGATAAATTATATGAATAACATTGTGTGACGAGTTTTGCATAATAAAAAGATGTGAAGTTTGTATTCAATTTGCCATAGTTTTAATTGAAATTCGATAAATATAATGAATTGTTCTCTCTCCAAAATAAATAACTTTGACTATTAATTCAAAAAGTTGATAATCGCAACTCGTTCTGTTAACCAACCTGATTGGATTTGGTAAATTTTCTTCAGAACAATGTTATCATTACATTAAATAATACTCTATAATATCCTGATCATCGACTTTTGCTACAGGTATTATCTCATCTCTGCAATGGTTGATAAAGAAACAAAAGAAATGCCGGAAAGACCTTCCATCACATGGATGATCAAGGAAGTATTTGATGCGCTTTGTTTGGAAGATAAAGTTAAGAGCAACAAGGAAGGTTCCTCTGAGGAGTCTTTGGAGAAACGGTGTGCTGAAGCCTGCAAGAAGCGCATGGCCCAGAAGGCAATCAGTCCTCTTGGAGTCAAGGGTTCACTCGAGGATCCTGCAGCTAGAATGGCACATGTTTACCTTCACTTCATTAAGAACGCTTACTTGGTTAACAGTGTCCTCTCTGATGCCTATGCTGCATGTACTCACATACCCTCTGGCACAACTGTTTTCAATGAAGTCATGAAAGCAATTGACTGGGGAAGATTGTCTGTGTTCAGTCTTGGTGGAGGTCCAGGTGACGACATCCTAGGGGTTCTTATGTTTCTTCATCGTCATGGATTTAATGCCAAAGTTTCTGGAGCAGTTGCTGATAAATGTGGTGCATGGGAAAAGACCATGAATAGCATCTTCAAATCATTAAACAGTGCTCAAGGAGCCGATGTTAAGATAGAAAAGGATAAGTTAACTCAACAACAGGCATATCTTCAGAACCTTTGGAGACGCTTGGATGGTGGAATTAAATACCACAAGTCTGATATTAGAGCCCCAGCTTATTTTCTTCAAGCTTATTCTGCTGAGGCAATGGCATTGGCTCAGGCAGACATAATCCTACTACCATTTGTTGTCTCTGCTATAAAAGAACAAGAGGAATGCTCAGCCGCACTTCAGGCAGTTCTGGAGAGCATGAAACCAGGAGCCCTCTTAGTTTATATTGACATTGCCAAGTCGGGGTGCACTGAAACTATAAATGAACTTGCCTACTGGTGTGGACTACGGAGGATTTTCTTCCTGACTGAGCAGACGTTTGACCTACCAAAGTACGAGAAGAAAGAGTATCTTGACAGGTACTCTGAAGAGTTTGAAGCAGAGTCTGTCCGTTCAACTAAAGTAGCTTCCATTGTCTTCAAGAGACCTAGTGCTGCATGTGAGTTTGAGAGGAAAGGAAGAATGACTGAGCGTGAACGTAAGAACATACAGCAAGCTCAAACTCGTCTTAGAAAGAAGAATCCTTCGTTCAGGTTCTTCGCTCCTTCTTAATGATATTTATTGAACTATTGACTTCACTTTGGAGTTTGTTTTCAGCATGATACGTGGTGTGAAACTTTTATGATTGTTAAATAGAACCACTTTCAATTAATATATTTCAAATTCGTTTAGTCTTCTTACTACGCTGGTTTATGGTCACTGACTTTATAATGAACCTTGTACTTTAATCTCTAAAATATTGGAGCACTAAAAAATTGTGACCTTATGATCGATGCTGATATATCTCCTAAAAAGGTGTGTAAAGGAACTCTTTTGTAGTGCCCCAAAGTTTTTACAATGATGACCAGCATTATACAAATCTTTAATGTTTATAACAAAATTTCTATAATTTTGCTAATTATTTTAGCATTTAAAATCAAGAATCTTATTTACTTATGTTAAAATGAAATGCACGTTTTTAAAGATCTGGATACTACCTGATCATGATGTGGAACCTACCTATTGATAGGGAGGTGAACAATAGTGGAAATGACACGTTACAGTGAATCTGGGTCATGATTGGTAAATGCTGTAAGCTTATTGGTTTATCACTGTCCCGTGTCAGGAAAATACGGATCACCTCCCCACCAGTATCCAGAGCTTTATAATTGAGCGAGAACATGGGGCCTGGGGTCTTAATCGCTTGAGCAAAGCGACGTGTCGACGTTGTATTATCATACATTGCTTTTGTTTACACAAAGTTAAATTATATGTTTTTTCAATTTGTTTGATCATGATACTTATGGAATCATTTGTCCAGCCAAAAGAATATCACATGAGGTACATAGTGTTAATCTATTATGCTACATTAATATAAATTATAAAATCTCCAGTGTCTCACTCCTTTCCATTGGTATACGCTATAATATTAGAATTATAATTAGAATATGAACAATTATACTCAATAGTTCATTTGAGTATATGCATTTAACTATGCATGCATAGTTGCAACCTTGGAGTCCTTGGACCTGGGTCCTGGATTCTTCGGCTACTTAAAACATGGCATGAAATTTACGGCTGTGGCTAGAATCCCATCCCCATCAATATACTCAATAGTTATTTTAAAATATCATTCTTTTTACCAGATCACTACATAAAGTTAGATAAATCTAGTGTTTGATGATAAAAGCTAAATCCTCTCTTACAGGATCCAATCCTAGCATGTGATTGTACCGAAGCGAGATAATTCCCAACCGTTGCCATGACGACGACTAAATGTGCGGAAGTGGTTGCCTTGGAGTACACCACCGTCAAAGTGCCATACGAGGTACTAAACAAGAAGTTCCGTCAAGCTCAGAAGATAATAGACAGAGAAATATCCCAGCTGAGTAACCAAATTACTAACATCATGAGATTACCTTCACCAGAACTACAGAGACAAGCCATGCCTGCTTTCAAGGAGAAACTTACTTCTTTCAGAAAAAGGGTTCGTACTATTGTCAGATAGTCACGTACTAAACAACAGATAGTCACGTACTATTGCCAGATAGTCACGTACTAAACAACAGATAGTCACGTACTAAACAACAGATAGCCACGTACTAAACAGCAGATAGTCACGTACTAAACAACAGATAGTCACGTACTAAACAACAGATAGTCACGGTCTAAACAGCAGATAGTCACGTACTAAACAACAGATAGTCACGTACTAAACAACAGATAGTCACGTACCAAACATCAGATAGTCACGTACTAAACAACATATAGTCACGTACTAAACAACAGATAGTCACGTACTAAACAGCAGATAGTCACGTACTAAACAACAGATAGTCACGTACTAAACAGCAGATAGTCACGTACTAAACAGCAGATAGCCACGTACTAAACAGCAGATAATCATGTATTATGTTTTATAAATTTAACTTAATAAATTGTACCACCACCATATTTAATATTTTATGACCACACGAACTAGCCATGTTAAACTACGGACGTGTTACAGTTGTCACCTGATCCTCTGAATAATCTCTAATTAATTCACATGTTTAAAAGTTTCAAAATAATAAATGTATGCATTATGATAGTAGATTAAAAGAAGTGACGCTCACCCCCTCCCTCAGTACGCAGATTGTTTGTCGAAGGAAGGAGGATACGCTGACAAGTGTTTACAGAGGCTGCACCACTTGTCAGACTACACTTCCAACTCGGACCCCAAAACAGAGGCTATCTGGAGAAAACAACGTCTTGACAAGATACTGGTGGACTACTTTCTGAGGAACAGCCATTACGAGACGGCCTTACAAATGGTCAAATCAGGGGGAATCGAGGTAATTTCGGATTGTAAATGTGAAAGTCAAATTTCTGGGAAATTTGAGAGTTAACTTGTTTTCTTCAGTTTTGCTATTACGTGCACAGAAATGTCCTGCAGGCTGCAAGTTGCTGCAACGAAAAATTGCTTTATTGGGTTTAATTTAATATACGTGTTGTATGATCTACCCTGATGAAGGTATGATATACCCTGCCGTAGGTTACAACTTACAAGTCACGGACAATAGATAGTAAAACTTAGTGAATTTCAATTCTTGGAATTCTTTAAAGCTTTCCTGAAAACGTTTTCCTATTTGAACTGTCCCTACATGAAATTCAGACACAATATCTGTATAACAATAAACTATTTTAGTTACAATTGGCTTAATATATTTTCTCATTAAGCTTCCATTCCTTATTTAATATTTATGTTCATATTTTATACCGATGTTTACTGTTCAGTTGAAACACATGAGGGCTCGAAAGGGATCCCAGTAAACTTCAAATTGTATTATTATTATTAACTTGATAACGATACACGTACTGTATGAAATACCCTGATATAAGTTACATCACAAACGGCAGGTAGATAAAGTCACGTATTTCATCAATAATACCGTCATTAGTTCCCTCTGACTGTACCGTGGGAAATTGAAGATTTACCGCAAAGTCACGTACTTCTCATTACCAGGATATTGTTGACACTGAATTGTTTATTTCCGGACGTGACATAGAAAACTCTCTGGGGGCTCATGATGTGGGTCCTTGCCTGCAGTGGTGTCATGAAAACAGAAGCAGACTAAAGAAAACAAGGGTACTTAAAATAGATAATAAACTTGATGTCTCGAATATTGAACTTTTAGCTGTTGCGATGTTTTATTTAATAAAATGACTGCTATCTTTCAATTTAATTATAGTTAAATATTAACGTACACTCAGAGCACGTTGGAGTTCAACCTGCACACCCAGTGCTTCATAGAGCAGATCCGCACAAAGGACTACATGGGTGCTATACAGTACGCGCAGCGCTTCCTTGTGGAGAGCGAGGGGATGAGCAAAGAGAAGCTGCAGGAAACTATGGTGCTGTTAGCATTCAAACCATCTACAGAGTGTGAGAAATACAAGGTTAGTGTAATGTTAGTGGAATGTTAGGATCACTATTTTAAGACACTTCTCTCACTTACTACCCTTCCTGCTGCAAGTTACAACACTGATGTTTCATATTGATCATCTTTACAAAAGATTATAACAATTGGCATGTTTACAACTATAGATATTGTCTTTTCTTTGAATAGAATTTTAAGATCCATATATGCCAGATTTTTGCAGCCGGGTATAATTAATAATACAGTCAATACTGACAACTGAAACACCCAGGCGCTGTTCAGTGAGGACAGATGGCAGGAACTAGTGTTGGAATTCAGAGCCAGTAATTATGAGTTACATCATTTACACACTGACAGTCTCATGTCTACAGTCCTACAGTCCGGCCTTTCTGCTATCAAGACTCATCAGTGTTACAGGTAAATTAATACGTGTGTTACAGTGCACATTTCGGTGGGAATTTGGAATGTGGGCCACATATTTTTCACTGGCAACATTGACTTAATACAATGCCCTACACACTACGACTAACTTAAAATCTAAAGTAATGTGTTTAAAGTAAATTAAACATATTACAGATAACAACTAACAAGCTCTTTCAGCTGTCATATTAATTATGGTAACTAAGTTATCAAGTTTTATCGGCCAGGTAGCGCAGTTGGTTAGAACGCCAGCTTTGCAATCGTGAGGTTGCGGGTTTAAATCCCACTGTCTGCCTGGTCGTGGGGTGAGCGTCATTGACGTTCAGCTAAGGATCCTGAGTGGTCTATGCAGCCCCCGGTCTACTCAGCCGAATACTCGAGAAATCGGGTGTGAGGGTTAAATGAGGAGCTGCACATTGCAGCAAAGTGTCGGGCGAAGAAAGTATGGTACACACTACCTTAACCGTCACTGGCTAAAAACAAATCCTTCGGCTTCCTTGATTGGCTGGTTGCACTTGTGTAACAATGTGGCTGTTGGAATACTCCGAAGTAAAATAAGTGTCTTGATAAAAATTTTAAAAAGTAACCTAGTAACCAACTTGATCATTTAATCAAGTTACCAAATAACCAAGTAACCGAGTAAATAAGTAACCAAGTAACCAAACTTAACCTCTACAGTAGTGAGAAGTCAGGTGACTGCCCGGTCTGCAACGAACCACTAAACTCCCTTGCAACTCCTCTACCCTTCTCGCATTGTACTCAGAGTAGACTCATCTGCCGTATATCTGGACAGGTACTAGTAATACAGTATAGTTCACAGTAGTATTATTATCAATAGTTGTCTTTTTACTGTATGTTTAGCACATCATGTCTCTTGCACCTCAATCTTGTCTCTTTTTATCATTGCACACGTAATATAAATTCATAATTACTTTGTCATGTTTAGTTGAAATTTCCGTCTGAGTTTCTATTTTACAACCCCCTATTTGTCTTACTTCCCCATTCTAAATATTTTTCTTTCCCAGCCGATGAACGAACACAACGCGCCAATGATGCTGCCAAACGGCAATGTGTACGGAGAGAAAGCTCTGACCGAAATGATGGCCTCTGAGGGTATTGTCACATGTCCCAGAACCAACGAGAAGTTCTGGCTTGATCAGGCTCAGAAAGTTTATGTCATGTAGTTCCAACTGAACTGGGGCTTTAAAAGTTTGTGAATCAGGAAAAAGCTGTTCCATTGTGAGCTGAACGTTCACTTCCCTAGGAAAAAAAAACATGCGACTAGTAAATGGGAAGTTGTTTACTGTATAGCTGATGTTTTGCTTGATGCACATGAATTTTGCTTTAATAATTACTCATTCAGTTTGGGAAAACTTTGATGCAGAGCTGCTATACTGTTTCTTTTTACGTTTTACTGGGTTTACTAGATATGATCGAAAAACGAAAGAATGTCATTTTGGCGAGGCGTTTCGAATTGAACTCATAACTTTCAATTCATAACTTTGTTGTTGTATGCTGTATATTATAAGATGGTTTTTCTGTATTATTTGTTGACATTGTTTGATGGAATTGTTTTAATATTCAACCTGAATAACGCATTATGTGATTCTGTTTTTCGTTGAACTAATTTGGCGACATTATTGGGTCAATCTTGCTACTTACCTGAGCTTCGAGAGAACTGAAGTTATTTCAGATATGCTTGTCCATTGCTACGGAAAAGCTACCTGTATTCCGTACAAATTATTTGCGCGTGAAAAGTTTTACCTTTACAGTTGAAAATTCACGTACGCCTTCTGCGCTGCACATGCATACATAGTGTGCCACAACAGGAAAAGGTGAGAAAAAGGGTCTACTCTCCGCTGCTTTGGAACGCGCGTAAGTAATAACTGCGATGAATTTGTCCACGCTTGATGCGCGATGAAGCCAATTAATTGCATAGTCCCATACAACCACGTACGGCCGTCTGGTCGTAGTTGACTGGCCGGTAGTTTTACTTCTCATAACACTCGTTTACTGGCATATTGCTCAATTCCTCAGAAAAACACACGGCACAACATGAACCTATCGCTTTGCTATTGTGGCATGTGTTTAAAGACATGTGCTGACGGACACTTGAATCGACAATGTCACGTGTTAAAACAGAGTACTATACACGATAATAAGGGTTCACAGAGGACATTGTATTGAGGCTTTAGTAATACTTCATATTTGACAGTTGTTTAGGTGTTAGACTGGAGGTCACCTCTGATCTTATTTTAGAGTGCTGCTCCTGAACAGAGAATAAAGAGCTATTCGCTAGAACACAGAGAAAGAATTAATTTAATTTTCAAAATCATAATACAATGTAATTACACATGGATGTAATCAAATTCCTTTATTAATCACCATTACCTGACGAATCGAACATAATTGTATAACTAGTAATTAAAATCATAGACACGATTCGATAACAAATGAGATATTGTGTATTGTGTGCCCTTAGTAGCAGCATAATGTCGATGCTAGTCTGTAGTCCGTTTGAAGTAAATTCAGGTTTTGCACGTCATATTAACTTAAGGTTTCATTTCGATTCTTGATCTTGGAAGAATCACTGAGAACAGAATGTAGATTGTAGAATATCTCTGATTCCTCAAAGTTCAGCCTCAAAAGCCTCCGACAGGTTTTTGTCTCAACGTTTTACTGCTCTTGATCCTCCTTGTACCCCTAGAATGAGCAGGCTGGCTATTGTTCAAGATGAAGCTGTATTCGGACTGAGTACAACTCGTCGACTTGGGCTTGGACGCTTTGTTACGTGACTCTCGCTGAAACTTCAGTGGTGTTTCGAGGACCGGCTCTCTCTCAGATGTATCGGAACCTGTAAGTAGTTTACTATCATTGTTTCTCTAGAAATAGGAATGAGTCTCATCCTCTCATTTCAATAATTGCACCTTAATCTTCATACAATATTAATATAACATTCAATCGAAATGGTTTACTCCTGCCGATTGTAAGCTTTAATCATTTGTGACTCTAATTTAAATGACCATCTCACTCACCCTTACTCCCCGCTTCTGTTGCACTGGAATATGTCCTGTGCTTGTATCGGTGGGGTAGCAGTTTGTTCTGGCCCTGCATGGCCCTGTCCTTTGCTGATCTACTGTACCAAGACAGAGACTTTACAAGTCTGTCCATTTCCTGCTTGTTTGCAAACACTGTCCCTGACTGGGGTCGCTCCCTGTACACTGAACATTTTATTAGACAACGTTAAAAAGGGTGAAAACTTTAAAACATTGTGTGAAGAATTAAAACATTGTGTGAAGAATTAAAACATTTCGCACATTGAAAACAGGATCATATTGTGAAACTTATAACAGCATTTGGTCACTATGGATATTTCAACAAAAGTTAATAGAATTACGTACTAGCCATTGGGAGACCATGACAGGCGGAGTATCTCGGAACTAGCGTACATTTTGGTCCTCGTGGCTCCGTAAACCGACTCTCAATCTCCGACCTTACTTTCTGTAGAAACGTTTTATCATACACTAGACAGTGAGAATATGATCGTTGATATATTTAAATTTTAGCCGCTATGATGACGAAACCAACACTCGACTTAAATCGTGATTGACATTAATACCATCGACATTGCTCAACCTGTACAGTTCTACTATGTGTAGTTATTGTGTACCACTGTACCTTATTAATCTTCTCAGTAGCAGCCCCGAATGTCAATCCCTCAGTATACCTCTTACCGGGACTGTAGCCGGCGTACCTGTAATGTTAGTTGTAATGTTAGTTAGTACCTGTAATATTAGTTGTAATGTTAGTTAGTACCTGTAATGTTAGTTGTAATGTTACCTGTAATGTTAGTTAGTTCCTGTAATGTTAGTTGGTCGATCATGTTCTAGTTTCTATGATAACCCCGTAACGCTGGTTAAAATTAGTTATTAGAGAACATATTCATAACCATTAAGAACACGTATGTGTTTTTATTGTCTAATCAGTAATCACGTGACATTTTCATAACTAAAATATTGGATTTAATTTCACAACAAAACACGTTGTAAACCTACGTATATTGTTGCGAAGTAATAACTGATGTCAAGTATTGACGTATATGTCAGGTGACCGGAGATTGCACAATAACACGTTTGTGCACACTGGCAGGCCCTTTTATATATTCAGATATTTTAGTGCAGTTCCACCTAATATTGAATAACGCAAGATTTACAATCGTAACTAATAACCAAATTTTCTACATGGTCCTCGCAATTTGTTTATTACTTATTATTCTTATACTATATTTTAAACTACTGTATGTGTGTTATTATTCTTAGATTTGTAGAGCCATTTTACCATGTGGTAACTGAGTACGATTAGGTAAGGTCGTACGTTTCTTTTATTATACACTAGCATAGTGTGCATTGCTTCTTTATTCTGTTGTCTTAATTTTACTGCTTTGTAGTACTGCTATGCGACATGTAATTGTTAACGTGCTTATTGTTTGTGTGGTGCTTGCTGGGCATTCATGTTTTTGTCGTTCAACTTTTACCAATGAGAAGCCATTTTAGTCTACAATTATAAATGTTTCTCTCATAACCAATACAATCTCAGTTTTGTAATATTACCATCGCTAAGTTTATAACACTAACCCGGGAAGATGTCCCGCAAAATGAGGTTTTCCTGCAGTGTCGTACAATTTATCGTAAAAGTTGTGACTTGTCGTGTAATACTCCATTTATCTTCCCTGATATGAGATACGTTAGTTACTTTGTTTAACGTGAGATGTAAATTCTTATCTTATCACTTATCAGTGGTATGGGATTTAGATTGGAATGACTGTCACTGAGTAAGCTATTTAACTTAAGCTGCTTAAGTAATATCTTAAGTTTCCTATTTCCTTTGGCCCAATGTAAAATCGGAATTTAAGTGAGAAAAGCAAATAAAAATGGCCGAGTATGATAAGAAAAAGTGGTATGGTGACATAGGTGACATTTAAAATAAATAGCATTCAAAAATAAAAAGCGTTATTTAGGAATAAATGGTATTTTTAAATAGTATCAAAGCAAGCGAATATATTCTATATCGAAAACACGAATCAAGAAGCTTACAAATGTTTAGCACTTTAAACTTTATAAAAAGCACTTTAAACTATTTAATAAGCTCTGATAAAGCTATGAAAATATCCGGTCCCACCCTTCCTTCAGAGCAGCCAACCTGCCAACGTCACAATATCTGCACTTTGAAATCGCACTTGCAACATTCAAAAAAACATTATGTAATTGTGCAGTCGTCAACGGCCAGATTTAAGAGCATCATCTCAAAACGTCCCTGGAACTCAATCAGATATCATGTCAAGAGGAAAGAGAGTCAGCATACTATAATCGGTAATTTGATAGAAGCAAGCCTCATGCTCAACAATGAACATGTGACAAAATATCTCCTGCCATTATAAATGCTGCTTCATGATTGGTTGTAGAGCGATATTTTGCTGAGGAGTTGGCTCGTGATGATAATCAAGAAAACTTTAGCAAGCAATAAAAATTTATTAGTTTTTCTTGACAGACGGTTAGATTAAAAGTAATGTGGCACTGTACGACACGTTCCATGCATTTTTTAGGATAGTAGGTAAATTGTTCGAAAAGCATGTATGGTTGATTATTGATGTCAAGGTAACACAGTATACCCTCCACTTCTAATTCAAATTGACAGTCGGCGTGTAATTGATATTGACTTGCATAATAGTGACGCTTAGTTGTGACGTTTAATTGTTGTGCCTAGGAATTCACACATCTTATATTACTTGTTCCTTAGAATCACTCTGAAACCGGTATGCTTTACTAAAAAGTATAGTACGAAACATTCACCGAGCGCATTTATCGAAACATAATCGTTTCTTCCGAGAAAAACAAAACGGTTTCAGAAAATCGAAAAAAAGCGATGCTTCCTGAAAAGTAATTGCTAACAAGCTGTTAGCAATGCGGCTTTGACTCGTTTTTGGAGAAGCACACAGGGGGCCGGCATGTGACATTCCTCGCAAAACACAGGCAAAACTCTTAAACACAGGCAAAACACGTAGGCTCGCTGGTAAACAATCACAATTTATCAAACTCAAAAGACGCGACAAGAAGACGAGACGAGGGTGAGAAAGTTTTGTAGTCAAATAACGCAAACAAGTAACGGTGGTCTTACATCATGCCCGAATAGTAATATCAGGTCATGTCACACGTTGCTACGGCAACAGAGCATTGAATGCATTAAGTGGATTATTCGACAGAATTTTTGATATGTTCCCAAAATATTTGCTTGTTCAATCAAGATTATTCAACACTAACGATGATTCAATTTTGTGTAAGCAGAGGTAACTTGAGAGCAAGTAAAACTCGTCATGGATCAAACACAGTTAGAAAAAAGGCTGGTTAGTTTTGATGATTGAGTCCTGTTGAAATAAGATTACATTCCGAAGAGATTAGGAACTGGGCACCTGTACTGTAATGCGATCACGGCACATGCAACCGCTCCTCAAGACTCAGAACATGACACCTTGGTTACAAACAATTCGTGACCATGGTAACCGACCACCACAAAATTGAAACTAGAAATGTCGAGAGGCCAGAATAGGCCAGGTGTAGGTATGATTTGGGCAGGAGTCAGGTACACAGGCCAGCTGCGGAGATAGCTTCATGAAATTACAGTGTTCAGAAGTTCGGAGCTTCGCAATTTAAAATTACTGTCCGTTTGGTAACAATCCAGAAATTTGTATTCCTACAAGAAAGTTAAGATTAAACTGTTCAGTTTCAAATGTTCAGAAATGTTGCAAAGTTTGGAATGTTGAAACTTAATGATTTTTGCAGTTGGGTGAGAAGGCCCCGTCTTAAATTTGCAGTTTCCTGACCTCATTCAGTCCGAGACATGCAAGCTTCGTGGAATAATCACTTAGTATTTGTTATTGAGAGACTGTAGCCAGTGAATATTACAACATGTTCGTATAACTTTCCTGCCCATGCAATTACATGTTGTGCTCGCATATTTATGTAATAAGGTAAGTTATAGAACTCCTGACGAAACGAGTGCCGAAGGCACGAGTTTTGTCAGGAGTTCTATAAATTGCTTATGGTACGGCACAAGACAACAGTCTTGGGAACATTTTCCGACCAAAATTTTGAAATTTGGTGCATTTTAACAGTGTCAAATTGGCAAAAAACTGTATCTACTTCCGACACAAAGTGTTCATTGTCCAATGAGCATCCTGCCATGCTGCTACCATCGTGTTACTCTCGTGGTTGCCACATGACAGCTTACCTAACTGCTATTGGACAGCGCACTTTTGTCACGTGAGTTACATTTATTGAGTACAGTACGGAATAAATGTAAGTGATCAATATCGATGTCAAAGAAGACGCTTGCATTCTAAAAGGAGTAAGATATTATGTTACAAAGAATGAAATAGTTTGGCATGCAAATTGATATTTTAATACTTCACAGTGAAATGAACTTCCGCTCTCGCGGGAAAAGACAGCTCTGTTCCTACATTTTTATCATTGTCTTCAATTTTATTTGGCACCTTTCCAATAGACATATTGTTGCAGTCAAATCTCATACTTATTTCGACGTGTCCTATCTGGTTGGGCAAAGTAATCAGAGTGTTTGTATCTATTGAAACCGTTTCCGTCCATCTTGATTGTACTTGTTCTACTTCAAAGTCGTCAAAGTCTGTAACTAGTTGGGAACCGTCAGATGTTTTTAGCCAAATAAGTGCTTCGGCGAGTTCTTTATCCAATTTAGATTTCTTTGCTTCTTTTGGGGACACGCACTTATCCACCTTTCTCTTAGTATTCATGCGTGATGTTTTTGGTGTCTCTATGATATGTGTAGAATGAGCAGTCGTTGTTGAACTTGGACCTGGGAGCATTTCAGACGCTTTACTTGTTGTAGCTACCCCATCAGTCACGTCTGATGTTTTAAGTGACTCACTTGGAGCCGACAGAACCTCGGAAACTGTAGTAAGAGCATCCACACTATCTCTACGATAAGTTGCTAATGTTGCTACGCTCCTGTGCCTGGTCCTCTTAATGATATCAGTTTCCGTTACACCTGCATCAAACAGTGTGTTGATGGTACTTGTTCTTAAGGAATGATTAGTCGCCATATCATCTTCAGTTATTCGTTTCACTGTTTTGTTTAATGTATTGATACCTATTGGAGTATTTGTGTACCACACATCATCATGAATTGGATTCTCTAGCTTCTTGGGAGTAAAAAACAGTGCTTTATTCAAATCTGCTTTATCAGGTAGCTTTGATAAATAAAACTTGAATAAATTCGTGAATGAATTCTCATTACTTGGGTTTTCGTAATGTTGTACAGGACGTGGGTCATTCTTCTTGTGCAGACCTCCTTGATTAGCTTTTGATTTATTTTCTGTATATGTGACCTTGTTCATTATTGGTCCACCTTCTTTCAATACACAATCTTCGAACTGAAAATTGTAATATCTGGCGTTTCGCAACTCTTCTTTACCGCGAAGAGCGAACAACCAGCCACAAAGCCACAGTAGACCGTCTACTAGCGATATTGGCGTAGCAGGTCCTAGCTGTCCACTCAGCCAAAGTTCCCTATGTACACCAGGGTCTACAGCAGGTGCCTTCTTCTTTTTGTGAGGTGGACCCTCCTTCTCCAGATGTTTGATGTAGCCGTCCACTTTCTGGCGGCAAGTCAGAAACTCTGGAGCAAGGCTTAGGTTCATGGTAGCATCCTGCTCCACCAAGTATCTGTTTATTCCATGAAAAATGCTTATTAAGCTTTCAGGTGCATAGTGGTGTCCGTCCTTTCTTCTTATCTCAACTATGAACTTTGCCACCATAGTGTTTATCATTGAAGGAACACCACAGTTCAGCGGGGCATACCTATGCCCCAAACGGGCGTGCTCCTCTCTCCAGGTGTTGTACAAATTGACCGCGAATTGAGTCGATTTTCGTGTATTTTCCGGTATTCGACCTTTCCTGAGATCTTCAAGTTCATCTTTTTCTATCAAAACAATACGAGACGTCATTATGTAAACAAAACAGTGCGATTTAATTTCAAATTGTTGGTCACCATTTCCTGTTACAATTTATGAAAGTAGTTCCTTCCGAGTTCCGATCTACTCCACTAATTTAAAACGTTTGAGATGATAATTCATTTTTCAAGTGGCCGCTCTTTTGTCACGTGAGTTACATTTATTGAGTACAGTACGGAATAAATGTAAGTGGTAAGTATCGATGTCACAGAAGAAGCTTGCGTCAAGCAAATTGTGAGCTGTGAATCTAATTTTGCTTAAGCGTGAAATCCAGCCCTTCTCACTGGCTAATATTGGTCACGTTATCTATCAGCTGACTATACCTCGTGACTGCGTCACTCGGTGACCACGTGCCCGACTGGCTGGTGCCGTACCATATATTTGCTTATAAGTATGTCAGAAGCTTCCAGCGGAAACCGTATATTAAAGAGAAAGCTTTAAATTATAGATCGGCTATTTTCTTAGCATAATAATATGTTGATCTCTTCGTTCATTTAGAAATCATTCCAGGAGCAGCTATACAGCCGTTAGTGATTGGGTTAATTGATATTAGGTTACGAAGAGAGACGGTGTAGTTGCTCTATTGGTTTATCTGATTACGTGAATGTTAGCCTCTATGACCCACGCCTCACAAGCGAATGTTTAGTTCTATAATTTTGTCTGGATGATGTTTCTCAGTTTTGAATGAGA